ATTTGTCATCATTTAGTGAATTTTTAGCCTTCGAAGTTCACGTGTTTGAGAACTGGGATCGTCTATATTTTATTTTCGCAGGCATTTTGTTTGACAATAATCATCAATCCATTTCTTTTGTGTTTCCAGGCACTTGGGGTTCCTGTTAACAGGCTCGTGCAAGCGGCTGATTCTGTATCGGTATAATTATTTACCCAGCTTTGTTATCCTTAATCAATTTCATTCTTAAAAACTCTATCCCCTGTTTTGTTCGTCCAGTCTAGCAAGTTTCAAGGAAGCTATCTATTAAATTACCTTTAAATCCAAAAGTTTGAGCCGATAAATTTGAGTACATGTAACGACCCTAAATTTTCTACTTAATCTAGGGTCGTTACGAATGGTCTCAGAGCCAGACACCGGGCGATGTATAGGAGGCTTAGCCCTAAAGGAGGTGGACACGAGGCGGTGTGCCAGCAAGGACGCTGGGCCCCGAAGGGGGTGAATATGGGGTCCCACATCGATTGGAGAAGGGAATGAGTGGACCCTGAAGGAGGGTGGATTGTGAGATCCCACATCGGTTGGGGAGGAGAATAAAACATTTTTTATAAATATGTAAAAACCTCTCCCTAGCAGACGCATTTTAAAAACCTTGAGGGAAAGCCCAAAAGGGAAAGCCCAAAGAGGACAATATCGTTAGCGGTAGGCTTGGGCCGTTACAGTACATTTACTCTTTTAAAGATATTCTTCAAATTATCGCTTCTCGTCTCTGACCGAAGTAAGAAGCATTGCTAATACATGCTTTTGTTTGTCGAACATGCCTCAGATTCTTTTGCTCAGCTATTGTTTTACTGAATTTTTGAACCAGGTATGCCTATCTAAGGGTCTGGGAGCTCCGGTTGGCTCGGTTATTGTTGGTTCAAAAGCCTTCATTACCAAGGTATATATTCACATTCCGCTCTTAAATTTGACTGGCAACACTTTCTAACAACTTGTCGTGCTTTCATTCCAGGCGAGACGGATGAGGAAAATGTTGGGCGGTGGGATGAGACAGGTCGGTGTTCTTTGTGCTGCAGCATTGGTTGCAATACAAGAGAATATTGTAAAGCTTGAGGGAGACCATGAGAATGCTAAGATTTTGGCTGGTAAAACCTACTCCGTTTGCAATTAGGTTCCGTTCTCGCTCTCTTATATCTCGATTCTCCCAGCAATGAGAAAGCTAATGGATATTGCATATGTGCATGAAACAGATGGAATAAATGGAATCAAAGGATTGCATGTGGAAAGCCATTTGGTTGAAACAAACATAGTAAGCTTCTGTTCATTGTTCATATAATTAGATATGAAATATTGCTTTGTTCTTACAATGTCCAAGGTAAAATGGACACATTCCATCTTTGATATCTCAACAACTTGGATATCAATTAGAATTAGGCTTCAAAATTACCGTCTCGTTTGATAACATTAACGAAACATTACAAATCTGTTCGATACTGATTTTGTTTTTTATTTTCTGCTTTCGAAAACGATGCTGATTTACTAGTTCTCTTCAGCCTGTATTTTGGTTTTTGAAATTTGACTAAGAGTTGATGTGTAACGGCCCCAAGCCCACCGCTAGTAAATATTGTCCTCTTTGAGCTTTTCCTTTCAGGCTTCCCCTCAAGGTTTTTAAAATGCGTCTACTAGAAAGAGGTTTCCACACTCTTATAAAAAAATGTTTCGTTCTCTTCCCCAACCGATGTGGGATCTCACAATCTATCCCCCTTCGGGTCCAGCGTCCTCGCCAGCACTCATTCCCTTCTCCAATCCATGTGAGACCCCCTAATCCACTCCCCTTCGGGGCCCAACGTCCTTGTTGGCACACTGCCTCGTATCCACCCTCCTTTGGGGCTCAGTCTCCTCGCTAGCACATCGTCCAGTGTCTAGCTCTGATACCATTTATAACGACCCCAAGCCCACTGTTAGTAGATATTGTACTCTTTGAGCTTTCTCCTTCGGGCTTCCCCACAAAGTTTTTAAAACGTGTTTACTCGGAAGAGGTTTCCACTCTTATAAAAGAATGCTTCGTTCTACTCCCCAATTGAGGTAGGATGGGACTTAGAATAGTGAAAAATTAAACAGAAGCTGTTCTGTTTTCTTGTCCATGCTCCAGATTTCCTTCTTTTCTGGTCCATGATTTTTCAATCTATATTGACATTGAAATTATAATTGCTTTCAATCCAGATATTCGTAGACATAAAAGAAAACTCAACAATTACAGGGGAGAAACTGTGCAAGATCTTGGAAGAACATGGCATACTTGTATTGCCAGAAAGTTCATCGAGGTTTGTTTTTAGTCTTTCAACGTCCCGTAACTTTTCTGCCTCGTCTCGTTGTTCTCACGATTGTTAAGATCCACAAATGTTCATTTTAGAAGCGTGTGATGAACACTCACAAAGAAACACAAAGACAAACTCCTTTGCATGATAGAAATTTCTTGGTTTACCACTTTGTCTGAACTGTGTGTGTGTTTGTGTGTGTTTGTGTGTGTTCAGGATTAGAATTGTGCTACACCACCAAATTTCAACAGCTGACGTACAATACACCTTATCCTGCTTCCAGGTGATCACCATTACAACACACCATCAAATCTTGTTTGTGTTTTCTTTTTGTTTAAGTTGTATGTTTATTTCATTGTTACCTTCATATCTCTCCAACTTTTGTTTTAGACTTGAACTTGGCATAACATAAAAAGTTCTTTGTGTAACGACCCATGCCCACCACTAGTAGATATTGTCCTCTTTGTACTTTTCCTTTCGGACTTCCCTTCAAAGTTTTTAAAACGCGTCTGCTAGGGAGAGGTTTCTATACCCTTATAAATAATGTTTCGTTCTCTTCTCCAACTGACGTGGGACCTCAGGTTTTGGTTCTCATCGCTATCTTTCTTAAACTATTTAATGATATCAAAATATAACACGTCTCTCATTCATTTATCTAATGGGTGGATATCTGCATGAAACAAGAGTTCAAAGTTACGTTTAGTAGGGTAATCATTTATTTGACTACTAGGTGTTAAAATGACTTTCCATGCAAAGTTAAACACTAAACCGAGAGCGTTTAGAAGTAAGAATGAAATAGAACTAAAATAGAATTTAAACTTCTTTTTAAAGCCAATGTACATAATTCCTCTCATTCTATTGTCACAGCAAGCAATGGCTGGAACATTTACAGATGAAACCGGCGTGTAAATAGACGACAAGGTGCTCGACTCGAGCCTTTTCTCTGTTTCTCTTTAGATGTACTTTCTCTGTGATCCAGTAAGTAGTCTGTTTATACAATACTATTGCATAGCAATCTCTGAAACATCATGACAATCAGTAATTTCTTTGTGAACTTGTTAAGAGTATACTTAGCAAATATTCATAGAACTGGTGGATAATGTGGAGATATTCGATTGATATCAATCTTTATAAGAGTGTAAAAACTTCTCCCTAGCAAACGCTTTTTAAAAATCTTGAGGGGAAGCTTGAAAGAGAAAACACAAAGAGGACAATATCTGCTAGAGGTGGGTTTGAGCTGTTACAAATAGTATTAGAGCCAGACACCGAATAGTGTGTTAGTGAGAACGCTGGGCCAAGGGGAGTGGATTGTGAGATCCCACATCGGTCGGAGAGAGGACGAGACATTCCTTGTAAGGGTGTGGAAACCTCTTCTTAGCACACATTTTAAAACCTTGAGGGGAAGCTCGAAAGAAAAAGCCCAAAAAAGACAATATCGACTAGAGGTGGGCTTGAGCGGTTACATATTCATTTTTATGCTCTAATTGTTATTTGGGTTGCTGACCTTATATAAGTTATTGAGCATGTAGGTATATATATATATATATATATATATCTGTGGTAGGTCTAGCTGTCCTGATTTGAACAAACCTACCAACCTAAACAGCTTCCTTAATGGCAAATTTTGGTGATGGAAGATGCCAATCTGATCTATTCATTTAGGGTATCCCTCTGGTGTTTAGGGCAGCCCTAGAATGTAGGGTTTACATTCCCAGGTGTGTGTAGAATAGCCTGTTTCCTCTTCATTTGATCAAACATGGAAAAGCTTTTGGAACCCTTTTTTTTAGTTTTCTTTGTGTCCTTTTGGAATGTCATGCCTTGTAGTTTGTAATTAATGCCTGATATGATATGAGGGTTACCTGTTGACTGTGAATAGAGATATCAAATGCAGCCACTTTGTGATTAATGTTGGACTATACCCCTTTCAAATCCTTTACCTACTTCTTTTGGTTCTTCTAGGTCGGAGATTTGAATCTCGACTTATTACTATTTTAACCCCGTCTGGTTTAGTTCTCGAGGGCTTTCTACATAACTTTTAATCGTCTGAGCGGTGTTATACTGGGATGAAGTGGAAAAGGAAGAACGAGTATTTGCACCCGTCTCGACCTGTTTGAGATGGTTGATGTTTAAAACATCAACGTATTTTCACATTTTCTTCACTATTTTTTTCGTTACCCCAACTTTGTTTTGGAATCGAGTTATAAAATTAAAATGGAGCCAAAGTGAGTTGTTTAGAGAATATTTAAAATTATGATCGATAAGTATTCTTATTTTACTTTTTGTTCTTTTTAAGGTTTTGAATCTCGTCTCTCGATAACAAGTATATTTTAACAATTGAACTATGCAAACCTGTTACAGTTAAACCCAAAACTTTTACAAATTAAGTGTTAATCACTTTATCATTATACGAGCCTAAACAATAATGATAAAGTGACAAATTTTTAAAAAAGTTTAATCGAAGATTAAAACATCGATCTTTGTATGGTAATGTATGGTAATTAGAGATTAAATAGCATTCTTATGCAACATCAAACGCAGTTATCTCTGATTCACTAAAATCTTATCTTTTGCTCAAACATCTTATATTTTCTAACATCTTATTCTCAAACATCGTAAACAAAATCGGGAACGGTTGAAGACCCTAAGAACGAAAAAAGAAGTGGAGCGTGTAAAGCACGCGCCAGAGAGTGAATGGGTGACAGCACAAATGTCCTTTTACCAATGGTCACCATCAACTCTTTTTCTCTGCTAAAAACTTGTCATGTTATGTTGTATGGCTCTTACTGTTCATATTCTCTCTCCTCTTCTCTCTCTTAATCTAACACTGAACAAACCCACTTCCCCCCACTGAACCACCACTGATCATTACTCATTTCTCCCTTCTTTCTCCACTGTTCATCTCTCACTCCTCTTTCCCCCCTCTCGTCTTCTTCTTCTTCCTCTTCTAAACCCAACAAAAACTCACCTCATTCCCTCTTTATCATTGCATTCCTCATCATTTCATGCAATTCCAACTTCTTGGGTTCACTTTTTTTTCCATTTTTCTCAACTGGGTTTCTGTTCTTTTGCCTTAAATCCTTCAAAAACCTAATCTTTGAGCTTGTTTCTCTCTCTAAAACCCTAAAAATCCAATCTTTTTTTGCTCATTTCCCTAAATATCTCTTGTTTTTTCTTCAATCTTCTTGTCTTTCATTTGGGTTTTCGTCTTTAATGGATTTGTTCTCAGAATCATCCTCAAATCCCACTCCTTACGACACAACCAACACCGCCGCCGCCGCCGCCGCCGTTGTTACAGCATGTCCTTCACCATCTTCCTCCTCTTCCGCCACTGCCGCCGCCACACCTAGCCGCTACGAGAATCAAAAACGGCGAGATTGGAACACGTTTTGTCAGTACCTTCGCAACCATCGTCCACCGTTGTCTCTACCTATGTGCAGCGGCGCTCACGTGCTGGAATTTCTCCGGTACTTGGATCAGTTCGGGAAGACCAAAGTACATAACCAAACCTGCCCGTTTTTTGGCCTTCCTAACCCACCTGCCCCTTGTCCCTGCCCGCTCCGGCAAGCTTGGGGCAGCCTTGATGCACTCATTGGTCGCCTCCGTGCTGCCTATGAAGAGAACGGCGGCCGGCCGGAATCTAACCCTTTTGGAGCTAGAGCTGTTAGGCTTTATTTAAGGGAAGTTCGTGATTTTCAGGCGAAAGCAAGAGGGGTTAGCTATGAGAAGAAGAGAAAAAGGCCGAAGCAAAAGATCGCAAATTCAAATCAAGACGGTGCAACTTGAGAACGAGAACGAGATCAAGACGAACACACAATCAAGAACATTGATATATTTTTCTATATGAATTATGTGCTAAGAGAATTTGTAACCTATCGCTTATTTTTATGTCCAATTCGTAATTGCGTTGAAGTGTAGATTTGAACCTTCGACCTGTATGAGCTACGCATGGCTCGTGTTAGCTTTCTATAAGGATGATCATGTTTTTTGTTTTAATCTTCAAGATCACTTTGAATTGATACTAAATTGATGGGTTTGGTGGATTTTTGAGGGAAAAAATAGTGTTTGTGACATAAATTAGTGGGAAATTATGGCTAAACTTTGGTGGGTTTTGTCCATTTAGTGATTTGGTTATCAAAGATTTGATCTTTATAAGCATATATATGTATAATTGGAAGTAAATTTGAGTATTTTAATGATGACCCAAATGAAGAACATGAACATGTTCAAAGCTAGGGCTTTTCAGGTTGTTTTTTTTCATGTCATCAGGTAAAGAAACAGAAGATTGGGTTTTTGTGGTGGGAAATTCAACAGTTATTTGAAGAACAAAACAGTCAAGACTGTTCATTAAGGTTGTTGTTGTTCTTGTTTTGGCTTTAAAAACACAATCTTTTTGGCAAAGATTTGTAACAATTAGACCCTAATTAATATTGTTGTGTTTTTTTTTTTTATAATGTTTTGAATTGAAATGAAAATCCCAGAAAGAAAGAAAAAAAAAAAAAAAAAAAAAAAAAAAAAAAAAAAAAAAA